AATTTGACAAGTTCAGATTAAGAAGTCTGAACTTAATCCCACAGGAAACAAGTTTCTAAATGGAAAGTGACATCTGAGGGGCACCTGGCTAACTCAGTCGGGAGAGCATGCAACTCTTGATCTCAGGGTTGTAGTTCGAGTCCCGCGTTAGGTGCTTCTACTCTAAGCAGCAGAGATTACTTAAAAATAAAATCTTTTTTTAAAAAGTGACATTTGAGAAATAAAACTGGAGTCAGAATATAGGATGAATTTCAACAATGGAAAGATTAGAGACAAAAATAATTTAAAATTTTTATCACATTATGCCTGGATTATTGTAATAAAGGCATAAAAGAGTTGAATGGAAACAATAAGAGGGATCTGTGAGACAGTGAAGATAGGACTTGTTAACTTACAAGTTGGGACTAGATGAGCTTTATCCTCTCCTAAAAGATAATTACATCTGGCATATACCTCAATCATTTGACTTCAAACTTCACAATTTTTGTTGCCCCTCAATCCCTAAGACCTCTCTTTCCCAGACATTTGTTTCCCCATGACCCCCAAACTAGATTCTCCAACCACACAATATATCCCAGCCAAAACAAAGGATTGTATTTACTAGCTCCTTAAAAACACCAGGAAATTCCCAATCCTATAACTTTGTTCATGTGATTTCTTCTACCTTTAATCTCTCCCTCCTTCTACATATTCGAAGTGTAGCCATTCTTCACATCCCCGTTCAAATGCCACTTTTTCCCAATGCTAGATTTCCCAGAAGCCCCAACTTGAAGTAAGATTACTTCCCAATACTCTCCACTTTTCTCTAAGACATTTTTTAACCATATAATTATTCCTTATCTCCTCTGATAAACTATATACTCACTACAGCATACATACCCAATTTATTTTTGTATTACTTCCTCCTCCTTTCATAGGAAGTTGAAGATCTTGATAAATAATATATGGCAACATGTAGTATAATGGCTAGGAGCATAGACTCTGAAGACAGACTGCTTGAGTTTGAATCTAACACTGCCATTAGCTATGCGACCATGGGCAAGTTACTTAACCTCTCTGTGCTTCGATAACTTTATGTATAAAATGGAAATAGTAATAGTAGATATTTCATAAGGTTGTCAAAGGACTTGGCTTAGAACGGTTGTAAGCATCATAAAAGTGTCTATTAGTGGGAAAATACTGAATATTCTGTGATAGTTGAGTAAAGCTTTATTTATTCATGCAAAGCAAAATGTCAAAAGTAAAGCCAGTTTCTAGGTACTAAGAGGTACATACAAATTCTTCCTAAATCCTCCATGTTTGCCCTAAGGGTTAGCTGTGCCCTTTAAAATCTCCCTTATGTTACAATAGTTCTGTTTTAGTTTGACATTTCAATATTCTGAGAAAATATTTAGTACAGCTTCCACCTAATTGATCTTCTTGCTTCCCGTCTTATCCCCTTTAATCCATCCTCCACAAAGGTCAGAGTAGTCTTTCTAAAATCAATATTCAATGTTTTTCCTCTGTTAGAAACCCTCTCCATGCCATCCCCTTTAGGATAAAGTTCAGCTCCTTAGCGTTTCATACAAAATTGTCCTAATATGGCCCCAGCCTAATCTCCAGCTTCATCTCTCAACGCTTCTTACCATGAAACCTAATCACCTGGCACACCTCAAAGGCTTTTTGTATGTCATTCCTTTTGCTAGAACATCCCTGAATTAGTTTGCTAGGACTGCCATAACAAAATAGCATAGATGCCATAACAAAATACCACAGACTGAGTAGCTTAAATGAGAGAAATGTATTTCCTCACAGTTCTGGAGGCCAGAAATCAAATCTCAAAGTGTTGGCAGGCTTGGTTTCTCCTGAGGCTTGCAGATGCCCACCTTCTCAATGTGTTCTCACATATTTTTTTTCCTCTGTGCACACATCCTTGGTGTCTCTTTTTGTTTCTAAAGTTCTTTTTATAAGGACACAAGTCAGAATGAATTATGACCCACCCTAAATGCCCCATTTAAGTCGATCACCTCCTCAAAGGCCCCATCTCCAAATACAGTCACACTCTGAAGTTACAGGGGTTAGGACTTTAACACACAAATTTTGGTGGGGCAAAATTCAGCCCCAAACAATCCCTTTTCCTCTTCTTTGCCCAGGCTAATTCCCATATGTTTTTCTAAGACTGGACCAAGCCTTCTCACCCTACAGGCACAGTTCACTACCCTTTCTCTCTGTTTCTATAGAACCTCTGTATGCTGCATTCTGTATACTGCTATCCTATTAATACACTATAACAATTGTGTCTTTCCCTCTTCAGACTGTGTTTCTTAAAAGCAGGGGCTAAATCCCTAGCACTTAGCACAGTCTCTGGCCCATCAAAGGTATTTAATAAAGATTTGATTATTAAGGGAAAGTAGAAGAAAGAAGAAGGGCTTTGAAGAAAGGCAAGAGTGGGTTCAAATCTTGGTTCAACCATTTACTTATCTTGTAGCTTTGGGTAGTCACCAAATGCTGAATTACGTTCTATTTAAGGTAGTTGTACTGATAAATGATCTAATTATAATAAAACACCCAGTTGTGGGGTTGGTTCACAGTAGGTGCTCAGTAAATGCTGAAGATTCTGAGCTTGCCTGGGTTTGACACCCAGTTCCACCACTTAGTAGATGAATGATAGAAGATGAATGACCTTGGGTATGTTAACTTACCCTCTGCTTCATTTGCCTATCTACAAAAACACCTCATAGTGCTATTGTGAGGATAATATAGGTAAAACGTTAAGATAGGTATCTAACACATAGTAAGTATTACATAAATGTTTCCTATTACTACATGAACACTGCAGGTCTGAGCAAATATGACTGGAAGCCATGAATAATTTAGTCCCTTTATTTACTAAGTCATTTTAAATGTATTACCTTAATGCCTCAGATTCCTTAATAGCTAAACAAGATGGTAACTAAAGAGGTTCAAAAACTTACAGATAATAATAATCATGAAATAATATATTACTATCTGTCTCATTCCTTATATTGGTGTTTAACATATTTTGGATATTGACGTAAAATTTTTAAGAAACTGGTTTTTCTACTCTTTGTGACTACTGATGTTAACCATGATTTCCAGTTTCCAGTGGAAAAATAATACTCTTTGGCTCATATTTTCAATTGTAGAATCAGTAAACCTTTGAACTAGAAAGGACCTTTGAGATGAAAATCCAATCCTATCATGCCTTACACAAGTAAACTGTGGTGGATTTGGAATGGGCTTTTGGGGTCGAAGTGAGCAGCTCTGTGGGGTATAGGAATGGCAAGCAGAGAGAACACTTTGTTCAAAAGTACTAAAGCAGGGGTTCAGAACTTCTTCTAGATATTCCAGGTGTATAAGGAACCAGTATTAGGAAATAATGCTGGAAAATAGTTTTGAATCATCCAAACTTTAAGGTAATTTCTGATGTAGGTACAACTTACCTGACCTGTAACTTTGATGCAAGGCAGATCTAGGTTTGACTCTCCACTTGTAACGTAAGCAAACCCTATGAGCCTCAAATTAGCACAACAGGGTTATTATAGTGATTGAGTGAACGTATATAGAGCTCATGACTGGTGTGCCTGGCTGATTAAAAGTACAGCTAACTTGAACATGCGTTTGAACTGTAAGGGTCCACTTATACACAGATTTTTTTCGATGCAGTACAGTAAATGTATTTTCTTTTCCTTATAATTTTCTTAACTTTTTCTTTTTTCTAGCTTACTTTATTGTAAGAATACAGAATGTAATACGTATAACACAAAATATGTTAGTCAACTGTTTATGTTATCAATAAGGCTTCTGGTCAAACAGGCTATTAGTAAAGTTTCTAGAGTGTCAAAAATTATACACGGATTTTCAACTGTACAGGAGGGTTGGTGCCCCTAACCCTCCTGTTGTTCCAAGGGTCAAATGTACTCAAATGTTTGTTCTTTCTTATAACTCCTTCAACATATGAATAAAAATCTGTAAAGTAACAAAACACTGTCTTTCATACATGTGATTGCTGAATGTTTGAGACTTTGTTGAACATTAATTTTAAAAATAGAAAGCTGGAAAAGCTGCTGAGATGATAAAGTGTCTTCATCCCTGCCCTTTCCCACCACCAAATGTCCTTCACAGTTTGTTCTGAAGTGTCACGTCAACGCTATTAACATGCTATTTGGAGATCACTGTAACTCAGACTTCCAATTCTACAGCAAAGATATGAAGGTCAGGACAAATTTTCCTGAAATATATTTTTTAAAAAACTGAAAGAGTACATGTCATTTTATTTCTATGGTCTATTCTAGCTTGATGAATTTCCAGTGAAAAGTTACTGCTTTGGGATTTTCTCTTTCTTTCTTTTCTGGCTCAGAAATTGCAGCAATGAGCTGAGTTCACCGTTATTATTATGACCCAGAACTCTTTTAAATGTTTAGGAGATTATCTTTACGCTGGTACTAAAAAGGACATCTGCCAACATCTATTATTTACGCTTGAAACTAAAGTTAACCGTTTCTTTTAAAGCATATTTGGTATCTGGCTCAAAATCAATCGCAAGAAAAGCCCAATTCAGCATAGAAAGAGCTCTTTGCAATATCCTCTCCTTTCGCTGACATCACACATGGTGACCGAGGCTAAAGGTTTAACGTCCAGACACGAAAGCCGCTCATCGCTCAAGGATGGGGTTCCAGGTGGATGCTCTCCGGCAGAGATCTGAGATACTGCCAATCCTCAGAGGCGCAGCTGGGATGAATCCTCAGAGGCGCAGCTGGGATGAATCCGCAGACCAGAGCCCAGCGCCTATCACTTCGCACCCACACTTGGGAAACAAACCACTTCCCACCGCGGGGCGGGGACCGGACGAAGACCCGGGCCTGCGATACCCAGCCTCCGGCTCTGATGTCCGCGCGTGACCTCCGAGGACCGGGAAGAGCTCGGGGCGGGGAGGCTCCTCCGCTTTCAGGAGAAGTTGGCAAGGGCAAATTCGAGTCACGCGCGGGAATGTTACTCACTGGCATGGCTCGACGTCCTCCGTCCTCCGCCAGCGCTCCCTCAGGGAATAGGATCTAAAGCGGTATCAGCCTGAGAGCTGCAGCCGAAGCGGCCGCCGCTGCCAGTAACCGCCCGGGCGTGGCAGGGACGGGCGGGCGACTTCACAACATCATCACTCGGCGACTTCGGTTTTGCAGCGAGGCCGGCTCTCTAGCAGCCCCACACATTGGAGAAGAGCGAAGACCCACTCTCCCAGCAGCCTCCACGGCGCCAGCGCGCGACCTGCCGGGAATTGTGGTTTCCTGTCCGCCCGCCCCCTCACCCTTCGGAGCTGTTGCGCGTTTGTCCCGCCCCCAAGCTAGAAGGCCCCGCCCCCTAGCAGCCTGGCCCTGGGGCGGGAGGCGGGGCCACGACCCTGGGGCGAATGCACTCCGGGCGGACTGCCTGGGGCTGAGGCAGAGTTCCAGGCCCACAGCCCCAGTCCGGGTCGCGCCGCCTTGCTGCGCCCCGCGGCCCGCGCTGGGAGCGGGTCTTGTGCGCTCGAGGTGCCCCACGGCGGGCTGGGCCCCCGGGGCCCATAGGCCCCGCGCCGTTGGCCGCCTGAGGAGAGTCGCGCTGGTCGTGGTCGCCGCCAGGGTAATGAGGGGAGGCCGGGCCGGGAAGGGGGAGGGTTGGGTCGGGGACCTGAGGGAGCGCGGCTTGTACCGCGCACGCCTCGGGAAGCCCGAGGCTAGAACTCGCCCCCCTGCCTCGAACCCAAGCCCGGGCAGCCGGCGGAGCGGTGGCTGGAGTCAGCGTGGCGTGGCTAGGCGAGCGGCCCCTAAGTCCCGGGCCGCCCGGTGGCGGAGGCACCTGCGTTCGGTGTAGGCGGTGCTTGCCAGGTGCGCGGGGCGCGCGCTGCCCGAAGTGCTCTCTTCCCCCACCTCTCTCACCTTTGGCAGCGCTCCCGAGCCTGGAGGAGTTTCCGAACAGAAGACACCCTCTGGCCGAGGTTCTGTGTACCACCTTCGGCGAGTTCGCTTTCGCGATCCCCCAAAGCAGGACTCGGAAAGAACCTCTTACAAAATTAAATGCTCCAGCTTCGTTTTGTTCTCAGTATTTAAATTCAGCGTTGTGTTTTTCCCTCGTGGCTTTGTTGTGTCGAATACCTTTTTCCTCACAACTCGGTCAGGATTTTGTGACACAGCGTCTGCCTAGCACAGAGTCCGTCTGGCGCACAGTAGGCACTCAGGAAATATTTTTTGAAGGCATGAGTCACGATACTAAGTTTGGAAAATCTTACGGAGTTGTGCGTCGCTATAATTTTTTAAGATTTTATGGCTTCTCAAGATCTCTTTGAAAATTACAGTAATTTTAAGGCTCAGCAGAGGGTTTTTTTTTTTTTTGCATTCCCTCTAACAATAGCCTCTGTTGGATGCCTAAATTAACTCAAAATCCGAGTTCTGTAAATAAATGCGCCCTATGATTTTCACAGAAATTGTTAACCTTTGATATTAAAGCCTTTGGACGAACCATTCTATAATGGAGCAAATTTAAACTATTTATAAAGCTATACCCTAATTAGCTTGTTAGACACAAATGCAAGGGACCACACTGATGTAATATATTTAAAACTATAGGTCTGAAGTATGATTTCTTTAAGAAGGATTTGTATCCGTATCTAGTGAAAGAGCATGCAGGAGAAAATTATGACCGCGAATCTATCCCTCCCACCCCACCACCCTCTTGACCAAGTGCAGCTGCTGCCTTGACCTCAAAATGTCTTGTAAAATCATCTCTTAATCGTCTGGCATATCTAAAGCAGAAATCTGTGGGATTAAATCACCCCCGTGGGACAATTCCTTTACTAGCAATTCTCATAAATCGGTCAGTTTCTTCTGAGTTTTTCTGAAATATAGATAATGTAATGGAATTTAAATTCTTTTGTTGTTATTTAACTTACTGATACGGAGTGGAAAAAGAAAGAAACAAAATCCTGATAACCAGAAAACTGAGTTAATCACGACATCCCTCATCCTTCTGTCTGTGGGAATGTACACTGCCTTGTCTGCCCTGATCATCAGTGAGTGTCCTCAGTGCCTGACCATGGTAGCCATTCATTAAACACACATGGAATGAATACCTGGCTGCTTCAGATTAACAGTGTAATGACTTTCTACAGGTGTATGGTTTCTTCATTTATTTAGACATTTCCTTAGAGTTGATTAGGGGAGGTGAGAATTTTACTGGATCAAAAGGTATGAGTATTTTCATGGTAATTGAAACATTGCCAACTTGCTTTCCAAATGAGCCTTACCATTTTGAGCTGCCACTGGTAATATTTGAGTGTACCTTTCAGAGCATACACTCAAGTTCTTATATTGGTACAGTGTTTGGTAGTTATGAGCCCTTTCAGATGAAGTATCTCATTTGATCTCAATCACCCTGGAAGGTGGGCAGAGCAAGTATTGCTTTCCCCCTTTTGTAATACAGCAAATGGCACTGCACTGCCTTAAATTGATGATAATGAATGGCAGGTGACAAAATAATCATACCCTTTCAGGTTTTTCTTCCTCCTGTTCTCTACTTCTGGTTTGTAGTGAATATCCTGAATAAATTCATATCTTTCCTTAGCAGTAAAATTGGATACTGCTCTATAATATCTGTTGTTTACACAATCTTCCTTTTCTCTTTCATTTTGCTTAGATATTTATCTTGATTAAACTTGGGGATTTCATTAAAATAACAAACCACAATTAAGAAGAAAGAGATGGTTAGGTGTAACAAAACACCCAACACTAGAAAGTTTAGAACATTGCCACCCTTTCTGTTAGGAAAAATCTGGAAAGTTTTGGTGGTGCCTTTGTAGTTCCTTGAATCTGAAGAAGTTGCTATTTTAAACTTCTGAATCTGTTGCAGCGTCTTCATAAACTATTGAGATTAATACTCTACTGGTGAAAGTGGACAGGAATTATTTGTATAATCCTCATATCTTTGATACTTGTCAAATTCTAGGAAGAATAGAATTGAGAACTAAGAATCATAAGGTAAAAAATATTCAGCCTAAAAATATTATTTTTATGTGGAACTGAAAAGAAATTTCTCTTTTTTAAAAACACATGACAAGGAGGGGCACCTAGGTGGCTCAGTGGGTTAAGCGTCTGCCTTCTGCTCAGGTCATGATCCTGGGATCAAGCCCAAGTCTGGCTACCTGCTGGGGGTGGGGTGGGGTGTCTGCTTCCCCCTCCCCCTCTCCCTCTGCCCCTCCCCCAAGTCGTGCATACTTGCTCTATCTCAAATAAATAAAATCTTAAAAAATAACAACGTATGGCAACAAGAAAATGTTATTCCTAGTGTGTTACTAATCCAGATTCTTTCCCAAATTTGCTAGTCATGGACCCCAAATGATTTAATAGGTAATTCAATCAGGAAGCTTTGGAACCTTCAACATTTACTTATAACTGGAATCATTGGAAATTATTGGGGCATATTTGTAAGTGGGTCCAACATTGATTTTCTATATTGCTTTCACATTTGCTTAAGTTTCTTTAAAAAAAGTACAGAAAAGATAGGGAAGGAGAGATGCAGGTATATTGGCCTTTGGAAATACTCAGAATCTTCCTTCAACTTAACTCTGCCTTTCTGTTGTGACGTCAGATCCCAAATTGTGTTCTGTAAACAAATGCTCTGTAAAGACACTTTTCAGAAATGTCTCTAGTCCTTGCATCAAAGAATAACTGCCTAAATATCATAAGGGTTTATAGCAACTAGTTCAGGGAACTTTTATTTAAATCTAAATTATTTTGCTTTTGTTTTTTATAATAGGATATTTCTTCATCTTGAAGATAAAGGAAAATCTTTTTTGGAGTAGATGGATTTTTGACACTTTCTGTGAACTAAAACGATTCAATGTCTCTCTTGGTAAGTTGTATTAACATTTAATTTCGGGGCACCTGGATGTCACAGTCTGTTAAACCTCTGACTCCTGGTTTCGGCTCAGGTCATAATCTCAGGGTCGTGAGATCGAGCCGCAGGTCAGGCTCCATGCTCTGCGAGGAGTTGGCTTGGGATTCTCTCCGCCCTCCCTCTCTCCCTGTGCGCTCTGAATCTCTCTCTCAATCTCTCTCAAATAAGCAAGGGGCGCCCAGGTGGCTCAGTTGGTTAAGTGTCTGCCTTCAGGTCAGGTTATGATCTCAGGGTCCTGGGATCGAGTCCCACATCGGGCTCCCTGCTCAGTGGGGAGTCTGCTTCTCCCTCTCATTCTCCCTCTGTGCTCTCTCTCTCTTTCTCAAATAAATAAAATATATAAAATGAAATAACATAAATAAATCTGTAAAATAAAAAAAGCATAGGTCTAATTTTGCCATCAGAGTAGTTAGATGTTAGTGCAGAGCCATAATTGAAGGCATATTCTGATGGGATATTGTTATGCTGAGATGTTATTTTGACCTGAATGGCTTCTGGTCTTAAGAAATGAGTTAAATTCTCATTGAGTTTTTGTTGCTTTAAAAAAAGAGCTTCTCCTTTACTTTTCTGATATATTCATTATTCTTTTCCTTTGTCCCATACCCACTTGTTTTCATACATTTACTGTACTTATATATGCCTCTCCCATCTAGTTAGCTATGCCTCATCCTTAAATCTTTCAAAAATCCCTTTTACAAATTTCCATTAGACCAAAGGCAAGCAAAATAATATTAAAAATAAGCCTCTTAACAAGACAAAAAATATTTGGATCAACATGTAATATATGTATAGATTCTAACTTGTTTTTTGTTTATATTAGATCCATGGTATCTAGATTGAGAACCAGAAATCATATGGTAAAAAATATTCAACCTACAGAAAATATTATTTAGATTAAGTAGTTTCAGGTCTTTCATCATGTCTTGTATAGAACATAATACAATATCTGACTTTATTAAAGTAGTGATCTTTTAAAAAGTGATGGGTGCATTTGTATGATGATTTGCAGTTTATAAATACTTTCATATCTTATATCTCTTCCAGTCTTCAAAATTATAAGTGATCGCAGGGCAGGTGGTTTAATCCTTATTTTGAGTTTGGCCCAAGATGGCAAAGAATTGCCAGGGCTCAAACTCATATCTGCCAATCCACTCCATCATTTGCCAAGTCTGAGAGGCAGAACTATGAAGTGAGGAAATACAGAATGCATTTGTTGGATTTATTGTATGATTTGTTTGGTATATGGAAAATACAGAATGCATTCACTTTATTTTTAAAGTAAAGCTTTTCTACTTAAAAGGGGAGCTTTGGGG